TAACAGTACTGCCTCTTCTTAAAACTTGTTGAGTCTTTATTCTTATATACTGTACACCTTAACCATATCCAAGTAAAAATACTGTAATCACTCCACTATTCGAGAAAATGTTGAGTGCTAGTGATGCTGGACGGATTGGGCGTTTGGTGTTGCCAAAAAAATGTGCAGAGGTGCGTCTTGATGCTTTCTAAGCCTAACCTGGTATTTTGAGGCATAATGGAAAGAATCTTCTTTTCAAATTTGCCACAAAAGTTATAGGTTGACTTAGTTTTTTATTTCATATTCAATTAACATTCTGCCTTTATGTGACAGGCCTACTTTCCTCCAATTTCTCAACCCGAAGGGTTACCTCTTAAAGTTCAGGATTCAAAAGGCAAGGAATGGATTTTTCAGTTTCGCTTCTGGCCCAACAATAATAGCAGAATGTATGTTTTGGAGGGGGTTACCCCTTGCATACAATCCATGCAATTGCTGGCCGGTGACATAGGTAATGATATTACATCACTGGAGAAATTTCTGATGGATGTTCGGGTTCTTGCTTAAACTCGTCAAGGACTCTGCCAATACTCTTATAAGAAGATTTTTTTATTATATTATTTAGGTATATATTTTTTAATTTGGTTCAGTGTTGCTAGTTTTCTGGATTCTTGCAGTATAAAGTTATTTTGGCTTTTGGATTTGATGCTCTCAATGTAAATTCTTGTTTTCATGCATCTCTCTTTTTCTCTCATTACGTACTACAATTAATTCATTCTGACTTTGTTCCCCCACTTTGGCTCTGAAGAGTTTTTTTTTTTTCTCAGTGACATTTAGTCGATTGGAACCAGAAGGGAAACTGGTTATGGGGTTCAGAAAGGCTTCAACTTCCCTACAATCTGATCAGGTTTTGCCCTGCTCAACATCCAGTTCCTGGTGAATTTATTAATTTTTTATTGGCAATATCAGGTGATTTTAGTGGCATGTATCCGGGATGCTGTTTTTGTTTTTGGGTTGTAAATATCGGATAAATAGACACTGATATCAGACTATTTATACACTTCAATTAAGTTGCATGATTGGCTAATGGCATTTTTTTCTCTGAGTCTGCACTGGATTCACTTGCAAACTCTGTTGCATGCATTTATCTTATTTATATAGATCTTTGTATTTGGTTTTCTGTAAGGTTCATTACTTATGTTTCATTTTCTTTTACACTACAATGGTAGGAAAATGAGGCAAACAAGACAACCAACGGAGTTTCAGCCCATGCAGAAGTTAGTATAACATAAACTTTATCTGGTGAAGTTTCTTCAAATTTTTGTATAAAGAGTGCAGAATCACCTAGCTTTTTATCAATGAACCAGGTTGAAGTGGCAGATCCTAGCTCATGGTCTAATGTTGATAAGTCAGGTTACATAGCAAAAGAAGCACTGGCAGATAAATATTATATGCCTAAAAAAAGAAAGAACAGTAACTTGGGTTCTAAGAGTAAGCGTCTGAGAATTGAAAATGAAGACTTGATAGAACTGAAGGTTACATGGGAAGAAGCTCAAGGCCTGCTTCGCCCTCCTGCTAACCATGTTCCCACTGTTGTGGTGATTGAAGGCTTTGAGTTTGAGGAATATGAGGTACACGGTTCACTATTATTCCTTTTCCAGAAGGGTTCACGTTGCCCTTTGTTGCTCATGTTTTTTGCGTGTTCCTTCGCTCTGATGTGTCTGTTCATTCCCTTTCACCACAACTGTAGCATAAAGTTGTTTTCTAACAGATTGCAACTACTATTGTGCCCCATAAAAATTATGTGAGGTACAATAACATTTATATCTTGTCATGATGGAACTACACAGATAATACTTTATTTGGATGTTATTCTTTTGTACCGAGTTCCAAAACTCAGAAAGAAAATGATATTGAGTTATGGATTAACAAAAGCTCAAAAAGAAAACAAATGCTAGATGAATCTCCACAAGCTTCTTTTATGTGGTCAATTCCAGAGTAACGCGTGGTAATATTATATGATATAATAATGTGTTCTTGAACTTGTAGAAATTTCTAGTCTGCCATCGATTCCTCTCTCTTCCTTCTGGATGGTTGGGTCTTTATCAAACTTATTTCAAGTTGTGATTACTTATATTCATTTTTGAGATGAACGTCAGGAGTGGGGTATTTAATGGGGGCTGCCCTCACCCATTTCCCAACTGTCCCCAGCCCCGAAACCCATGTCAACTGTTGAATCAAAACTTCCTCTCTTAGCGGGAAATATAGCTTGGCACTTAATAGGGAGTGTTACATCTTTCATTGCATCTTTGTAGTCTTTGGTGTGTTACGTTTTCTAACTATGGTATCTTGTTCAATATTGGGTTAGGACCCCTCCATTATCTATACTGACATCTACTATTTCAAATTGCAGGATGCTCCACTTCTTGGGAAGCCAACAATTTATGCGACGGGCAGAGCAGGGTAAGCCAATTTAGTGCTAAGATCTGTTTGTGAAGACTTCTATTTAGTTTTGTGTCCTGAACAAAAAAAAATAAAAATCAATTACTTCTGTGTTACTTCTAAATGCTTTTGTTTTTTTTGCATATTTATGACAAAAATTTATTGGTATTTGCTCTACCTAAGTGGGCTCGTTGATAAGTTTGTAGGTTAACATTTATTGGCTAACAAAATTGTGCCTCGGTGTGCTGCTGGGTGAAAATTTTCTGTTTTCTTTCCCATTTCTGGAATATTTTGAAGAGACTGAAAGGCACGTAATAAAATATCCACCAGATTCAAATGTTTTGTTCCGTTCTTGCTAGTGAAAGGATTCAGTGGGCTCAATGCGAAGATTGTTTCAAATGGCGCAAACTGCCTACCAATGCTCTTCTACCATCAAAGTGGACTTGTTCTGAGAATTCATGGGACCCTGAAAGGTAAATGAACAGTTTCCCTAATGTGTCACCTGAGATTGATATCAGCTCCAAGGCTGTGCACGTTGATAAACTGAATTTTTAATGTTTTGAAAAATATCCGCCAGATCTTTGTGTTCAGCAGCTCAAGAATTGACAACGGAACAGCTTCAAGATTTGCTACCCCGCTGTAACACAGGTATGAATTGCTGGAAACAATTATCATAATCCCGAGCTCATTGAGTCACGTGTCTTAAGAGAACAGCTTGGTTGTGGGCACTACATTTTCTTCTTTTTGACCTACCCATTTCTAAATGGTTATTTTTCTTTTCCTACATGCAAGTTTTTCTCTAACATTTACACGCGCACATCCTTCCAATTTATCAAATTTGCAATTGTTTGTTTTTTATTCTGATTGAGCAGTTGCTTCTAAGAAAATGAAGGCTGCTAAACAGGACCCCGATAACATTGAAGTACTGGAGGGGCTTGACACGCTCGCGAACCTAGCCATCTTGGGAGAGGGTGAGTCACTACCATCATCAGCTCAGGCCACCACAAAGCACCCCCGACATAGGCCTGGATGTTCATGTATTGTCTGCATCCAGCCCCCTAGTGGGAAGGGTCCTAAACACAAGCAAACATGCACCTGCAATGTGTGCTTAACAGTGAAGCGTCGCTTCCGTACATTAATGCTACGGCGCGAGAAGAAACAGTCAGATAAAGAAGCAGAAACTACACGGAAAAAGCAGCACAAGGGGCAATTACTGGTGGTTGATAAACCGGAGGATGACACCCTTTTATATTGTAACGCAGGAAGCAGTAGTCCAAACCAGAAAATAGAGATCCTTGAACTTTCCGATGATGACCTTAACCTGACGAAATCCTCAACTTCACCTTTTAAAGGCCAAATTGACCTGAATATCCAGCCGGAGCGGGAGGATGAACTGTCGCCTGGATCCGATTCAGGCGGCATGATGAAGTTGCTTCACGATGCCACAGCAAGGTATCTCAGGCAGCAGAGATTGTCAAGCTCTGGTGGTGGTGAAAAGTCATCAGGTAACGGGTCACCACGAGCTGCAAGTGAAGCAGGAGGGGGAGAACCCCTCAGCAACGGTGTAAACCTCGAAAGTAGCAATCATGATGGTGGCAACGACTGTCCTGCAACATTATCCATCACAGCATCAGCATCAATGACTGCTACGGGATAACATTAATACATCATTCCGTGCAACGATATGTAGGTCATCAGCAATGTAGGGCTGCTGTTCTGAACCGGAGATAGTTTTGCTGTACATTCATCAACACGGGCATCGCGCACCTCCACGTTTGTACATAAAGAGGTGGAAAGAAGGTAACTTCGTTGAGAAACTGTAATTTGATATGATGTTGTCCTCTCTTAAATCAATATAAACGGACACGAGAGCCGGATTTTTAATAGGGAAAGCGATGAATGTGACTGAATCGTGTGGCAGGTCGAGGCAACGCAGTTTCGTTTTAGTAGCTCACCTCGATACCTTGCAGTGAGATTTGGAGGGATGTAATGTGATTGATCTCTCTTTTTCCGTCACCTATTGTTTATTTTGCGTTTCTTGCTAGTAATTTTGTGCGATATCTCAATAACATATATTTTTTGCTAGCCGCAGCTAATTAGATACCTCGTCTCCGGTTTCCGTACCTTGTTTGAATCTTCTTTCTGGAGATTATAGATTATAGTAGTTTAAAATATCGTTTTGTCAGTCTGTTTTTGTACGTTACAATTGAGAGGGATTACTTTTGCTTTTATTTTTTTATCCGATTATTAGTTTGAAACTCCTTTTTGTAGATTATAGAAGTTAAAAATATCGCGTATCATTTTGTTTTTTGTACGTTAAAATTAACGGGGTAACTTGGTCTTCTTTTTAGGGAATTTTAACGAAAAGCTTCTGGTACTGTTCACTTTAACGAAAAACTATATTTTTACTTTAAAAAGTCAATTCTGGTGCTATTTATTTTACCTTTTATTTTGTCTTTATCGATAAAATTCAAAGTTTTCAAATTCTTTTCATTAGTTTTTTTTTTTTTATCTGATTAGATTTCTGTAATTAGATTTTTATCTTTGTAAGCTTGTTAAGGTTTACTTGTATTAGATATGTTTAGTCAGCAAATACAATGGTTAATTACAACTACTTGTTGCTAATCCATTTATAATTAGGGCAGGTTAATTATCCACAAATATCTTAATACCGAACTAGTGATAGGGAGGAGTATAAATTAGGGCAGGCTAATTATCCACAAATATCTTAAACCGAACTAGTGATAGGGAGGAGAGAAACGTACGACCAAGTCAACCAACAGATTAAGAGAATAGGATGATGCCACGTGTCAACTCAGGAGCTACTGTACAGCCATCGTTAAAACGGTATTATAGGTTAATTTGGCTGGTCCTTATTATGCAATTAATCCAAAACCTCTAATGCTAATAGCCTAATCCCACCCCACCACCCCCTCCTCACCAAAAATAAGGAAACTTCTTCTTTCGTCCATATCTTGGTGACAGCTTCTGCTTTTGTCACCTCCTCCTCCTTACGCACAATGTGGATGCAGAGGAGGTTGCAGAAGCCCGAAACCCCCATCCAAAAGCACTTTTAAGAAAAGCACACTTCGATTAATTTAGCTTACTTGTTATACGCATATGGTTTCAACTTTACGTGCTTTTCTGTATTTTCACCAACATTAGAGAGAGAGAGAGAGAGAGAGAGAGAGAGAGAGAGAGAGAGAGAGAGAGAGAGAGAGAGAGAGAGAGATCCCCATAGAAAAGCAGTTTTTAAGAAAAGCACCTTTGATTGTACATAAGATCGAGGCAAGATGAACGACTTATTTTCGAGCTCGTTTAAGAAGTACACGGACCTGAACCAGCAGGCCTACCTCGACGACATGGAGGCCGGCAAGGAAAGTGTTAACCTCGACAAGTTCTTTGAAGACGTTGAGAACGTGAAGGAGGACATGAGGCAGGTCGAGAGGCTGTACAAGCAGCTGCAGGAAGCCAACGAGGAAAGCAAGACCGTGCACAATGCGAAAACCATGAAGGAGCTCCGGACTCGAATGGACTTGGACGTCGAGCAGGTCCTCAAAAGGGTCAAAATCATCAAGGGAAAGCTCGAAGGTTTAGAGCGTTCGAACGCAGCGCACAGGAACCTTCCCGGGTGCGGCCCTGGATCCTCTGCTGATCGAACGAGGACCTCGGTGGTTAGTGGCTTGGGGAAGAAGTTAAAGGACATGATGGATGACTTTCAAGGGTTGAGAGCCAGGATGACAGCCGAGTACAAGGAAACAATAGAACGCAGGTATTTCACAATCACCGGAGAGAAAGCGAGCGAGGATACCATTGAAACTTTGATTTCGAGCGGAGAGAGTGAGAGTTTTCTGCAGAAGGCAATTCAGGAGCAGGGGAGAGGTCAGATTATGGACACCATATCCGAAATGCAAGAGAGACACGATGCTGTGAAGGAGATCGAGAAGAATTTGATCGAGCTGCATCAGATATTCTTGGACATGGCGGCCCTGGTCGAAGCTCAGGGCCATCAGCTCAACGACATCGAGAGCCACGTCATGCACGCGAGTTCTTTCGTGAGACGCGGCACTGATAACCTTCAGGTAGCCAAAGAACAGCAGAAGAAATCAAGGAAGTGGACATGCATTGCAATAATTCTTGGAATAGTCCTCATCATTCTCATCCTAATTCCAATTATATTACAAGTTTTGCCTCATATGAAATAGAAAGAGGGAAATGGGGGAGACTTTGTTCATAGTTAGATCTTACGGCGAGCTCAGAAGGAAGGAAGAAAGACTAGCGATTTTGACGCTCCTCTTTTGGTCTCCTGCACATTCATTTTGCAGTGCGTACGGCTAAAAGTAGAGCGCCACAATCCCTACGCAAGAAAATATAACGGTTTGTTCTCGAGGGGTGCGGTTTCATGTCTCTCACATACACAATTGTGACACAAAAGTAGCAAAACTTGGAAATGGAAGTTTGTTCATTCACATTTGGGCATCCTCTAAGCTTTTAAATCTCTCGGGGCAACGGGACCGAAATGGCAGATGGTAAATGCATGGAATTCTCATGAAGTAACGAATTAGACATTTATTTGTAACCAATTTTATTCTGGTTTTACGAATGACATTGCATTTTTAACTACTTTTTCATTGCCCCATTCCCGCATTCTTACAATTTCTCCACGACATAGGGCTCGAAAGTCGCTCGTTCAAAAGTATTTTTAAAATAACTAAAAGTGCTTTTAGAGAAAATGTTTTTTGGATTCCAAAAGCACTTAAGTACTTTCAGCAAGAAGCACTAGTTATGCGTTTCTCGTAGAAAGCACTTCAAGTGTTTTTTCATGATTCACTTGCATTTTTACTAAGCATTGGTTTCAAAAACATTTTCACCAAAAACACTTTCAATCATTTTAAAAGCACGTCTAAACCAGCACTCACATTTTAAGGCCGAACCTTTTTGAGTTTGATGAGCTATCGATTTGGTAATGCTTTCTCCTAAGAGCTTTTACTAGAAGCATGTTAAAATCCAAGCGCTTTATGAAAGAAGTTCCAAACTTCCAAGTGCTTTATGAAAGAAGCACAAAGCGGAAGAACTTTTCGTTATCTAATTCTAAAAACGCACCCATCTCCTTCTAATCTTTAATAGAATTAGGCCACGGTTGGTGCACCAAACCAAAAGTAGTAGAGAAACTAATCATTTATACATCAAACAATTTACTCTCACAAAATGGCCATCAAACAATACACTTTTCACAAAATAGCCCGAATATTGAGCATTTCATTTCAATCAAGCCACCGAGATCATTTGCCATTAAAAATCAAGAAACTGAATTCAAGTGTAATTCCTACAATACAGTTTGGAAATCATATCTGGAATGATTGACACAAAATATCGACACTAAGCACAAAGTTCGGAACAGGCATTCACCAAAATATACACATATACGCTGCAGAAAAGTAGTAATCCGTCCAGTGGGGGTGTCAAGTACCATAATTCGGCAAAGCTGCCATAAACGAGTTGTAAGAGGACTCGAGATCAAAGTGAAGCTGCCTTGACTGCTGCTCCGTCAACTCATCAGCTGCTCCCATCTTCGACAGCCTTGCAATCCATTCCTTCAACTTCACCTTTCCCAAAAAGTCCGGTGGCAGAAAGGTTAACTTCCCAAGGGACGTTGAGAGGTCTGAGAGCAGCGGGTGCACCTGATCAACTGCCACCATGTTCAGCTTCAAGGAGTCCATTGCGGTGATGAAATTCTGTGTGCACTCTGCCACAGCAGCAGCTGAGGAAGTCATGGAGGAAGCTGCAGCAGCCCGGTGCTCCACTGTGGCAGGCACCCCTGAGGTCACAAGGCGGTTTATAGCTGCTGGGCAGTCCATCTTGTATGTATCTGCAAACCGCTCGATGCTCGGGATGGTGTCCTTAAGCGTGGATGCCAATGTCTTAAAGTGGGCAATGAGTTTTTGGCATTCAGTCTCATACGCAGAAGAAGTGATCACATCCCGAACATACGCCTTTTCAAGCTTCTCAGTGGTCTTGATAATGGCGTATAGTTCGGCAAAACTATCATACATTTCTCTTTCACGCTTGTCATTGGCCAACTTGACCTCCATTTTACTGATGTATGTGAAAGAAGAGTATCAGGTGTGCGTGTGTAGGTGGAGGATTGGAGAAGAGAACGGGACACGCGCAAAGGAGAGAAAGAACCTTATTCACTGCAGAAAGAATTGCATACAGAGAAAACATAAGTATGAGAACTTATCCCCTCAATTGACAACCCGCAAAAGAAACGAAAGATCTCAGCATCCACAAAAATCAACACAATTAAAAGGCTTTGGAAGAAAAAATTTCAATCCCTCATATCAATGAAGTCTGCTGCAACATTCAGCTTTACTAAGAACAATGATAATTTCTTTTCGTATCTTTTCGGCCCGGGAACAAAGATGATTCTCATAACCTAGCATTCTATAACTTTGATCCAGATTTTGGGAAACCAATATACAGGAAAATACATTATCTTCATAAGTAAGAAGCAGATTGGAACAATGGAATTAGCAAAAAGCAAAAAAGCCCCAGCTCAAAACCCAATTTTTTTTCTAAATCTCAACCTAGATATGAACATTTCAGCTGAAACCTAAGCCCCAGACAGGCACAAATGTTCAATTCTTATAGAAAATTTACAGAAATTTAAAGAACGACAAACCCAGCAAAACAAAATCCAAACATATCGAAAATTAGTAAGAGAAACACAAACCCGAAAGCAAATCAGCCTCTCACACTAAGCAAACACGGCAGCAGCCATGGACGCCCATGGCCCTTTCATCTCAGGAGGCCATGACCGACGACGGAATAACCAAAAACACCAAAGAACACGCAGATTCCAAACAAACCCAAATCCAGAAATTGAAATTCCGAATTGAAAATTCAAATTGGGGGATCTCCGAGATTTTACCTAAATAGCAGCTCGGATGGGGAAAAGTTGAGAACTTTGTTCTGCTGCAGCTGGGTTCGAGTGGGTGAGATTTAGAAATAAAAAATTGAAAAAAATATTAAAGGAAAAATCGAGGGAGGGGCCGCGCCAGGGAGTATTTGTATATCGAGAAGAAGAGGAGAGAGAAAGTCTGATGTTACGACACACAGAGGAGAGAGAGAGAGAGAGAGAGAGAGAGAGAGAGAAGAGAAGAGGAGAGAGAGAGGGAGAGGGGTTGCGTGCGCGTAGCGTATATGATTGCTGCTGCTTACGGTGTAGCAGTTGGAAAGCGACAAGGCCTTCCTTCCCTTCTTTTTCTCCGTTCTCAGACCGCGTTATTTTACGTCACTCACGCCAAAATATTATCATCATGGGCTTTTTAGGCCCACTTATAGATTTATGGGCTTGGGTTTCATGGCCCACCAGTACTTGTGCTCTTTACCAAGGCACAAGGGCTTCTTTGGGAAACTACTATGTCGAAAAAAAGTGCTTTCTATTAACGAATAGCGTTTTTGACTCACATAAGCGCTTTTTAAAAAAGCAATTGTCAGATACTCCTTCATAAAACACTTTCAGATTTTTCCATGAAAAACTTGAATTTTTAACAAATACTTCAATGAGGTTTTAGTAAAAATATTGATAAATTCCGCATAATTAAGGCTCGTTTGGATGATGGTTTTGGAGAATTAAAAGCGCTTCCGCACTTTCATCAAACTGTTGCAAGTTAAACTAAAGATTGTATCTCGTCCGTCCATTTTAAAATGTGTATTTAGTAAAGTGAATTAGATAAAAAAAAATTCCGATTCCCGGTTACAAAAAGATTCCGATCTGTTCGCGGATTCCAACCCTCACACAATTTGATACATTTAGGGTTTTATTCGACCCCAAAATCCCAGTCCATGCAACATTGAAACTTCAAAATCCCCAAAAATTCGAACTTCCCCGCGTTGTTTCGGTAGGGTTTAGGGTTTTTCCAGGCATTACCAACTCCTACCACTGCCAATTCACTCCCCCATGGCGATTTCTCAGGAGTTGTACCCATCGCAAGACGACCTCCTCTACGAAGAGGAGCTTCTCCGGAACCCCTTCAGCCTGAAGCTATGGTGGCGCTACCTAATCGCTCGAGCCGAATCTCCGTTCAAAAAGCGCTTCATAATCTACGAGCGAGCCCTCAAGGCTCTGCCCGGAAGCTACAAGCTCTGGTACGCTTACCTCCGCGAACGGCTCGAGCTCGTTCGGAACTTGCCCATCACTCACTCGCAGTACGAAACCCTAATTAACACGTTTGAACGAGCTCTGGTGACGATGCACAAGATGCCCAGGATTTGGATTATGTACTTGCAGACTCTGACGGAGCAGAAATTGGTCACCAAGACCCGCCGGACCTTCGACAGAGCGCTGTGTGCACTTCCTGTGACGCAGCACGACCGCATTTGGGTGCCCTACCTGATGTTTGTGAGCCAAAAGGGCATCCCAATCGAGACCTCGCTTCGGGTTTATCGCAGGTATTTGAAATATGACCCTACCCATATTGAAGATTTCATCGAGTTCTTGATTAATTCTAGTCTTTGGCAAGAGGCTGCCGAGAGGCTTGCTTCGGTGTTGAATGATGATAAGTTTTACTCAATAAAGGGGAAAACGAAACATAGGCTGTGGTTGGAATTGTGTGATTTGCTTACTAAGCATGCCACTGAGGTTTCAGGCCTCAATGTAGACGCTATAATTAGAGGTGGGATTAGGAAGTTTACGGACGAGGTGGGGCGGTTGTGGACCTCTCTTGCGGACTATTACATTAGGAGGAATTTGCACGAGAAGGCGAGGGATATATTCGAGGAAGGTATGACTACTGTGGTAACGGTGAGAGATTTTAGTGTGATTTTTGATTCGTATGCTCATTTTGAAGAGATTGTGCTTGCTCATAAGATGGAAACTGCTGATTTGAGTGATGATGAGGAGGACGAAGAAAATGGGGTGGCAGAGGATAGAAATGAGGAGGAAGAAGATCTTCGATTGGACATTAACTTGTCTGTGGCTGAGCTTGAGAAGAAAATGCTTGATGGGTTTTGGCTACATGATGATAAGGATGTAGATTTGAGATTAGCTCGATTGGACCATCTCATGGATAGAAGACCTATACTGGCAAATAGTGTTCTTTTGCGACAAAATCCTCATAATGTAGAGCAGTGGCACCGGAGAGTGAAGCTATACGAGGGCAATCCCACAAAGCAGATACTTACATACACTGAGGCTGTGAGGACAATTGATCCAATGAAAGCAGTTGGGAAGCCTCACACATTGTGGGTTGCTTTTGCTAAGTTGTATGAGAACCACAATGATATTGTCAATGCCAGAGTGATTTTTGATAAAGCAGTGCAGGTGAATTACAAGACCGTGGATAATTTGGCTAGTCTTTGGTGTGAGTGGGCAGAAATGGAACTGAGGCATAAGAATTTCAAAGGAGCACTGGAACTGATGAGGCGGGCTACTGCAGAGCCATCTGTTGAGGTGAAACGAAGAGGTAATGTTCATCCTTCTTTGGTTTGTTGGATAATTTTGTATGTGTTGGAAGTTCATATAAAAACTTTAGAGAGATTTTTATTCACTTATTATTCTGTTTCAATAAATCTCAAACATAAATACACTTCCAGAAATATCCTGCACCATCCTGCACCTGGTATCTTGCCTGTACCTCTTATGCTGCTTAATTTTGTATCTACTTTGGATCCAGAATTTTGTTTCCAATTTGAAGATCACATTGATTCGCTTTGATTTGTTTGGCATTGTCTCTATTATTATTGTTATTCCAAATACCGTTTTCAAGACCTATAATTCTGCCGGACTTCCAAGCACCTTCGCAAATGTAATTATATTAAAAGAAATATGCCTTGATGCCCTATTCAGTTTCCATATTCTTGTCTTTTTTCTTTTCCATTCTTATTTCGCTTTTTGTCAGGCATTTTTTTTTGTTTGGTTTGATCCTGTGTGTGCACAGTCTTTGGTTTGTAACAGCCCCCATCCATCGAGTTGTGACCTTTCTATTATTATTTTTTTATTAAATATTATTTTATTTTAATTGTTGAAAAGAAAAGGAAATTAAATAGTTAGGTTAGTCATATGGATTATGTGGGAGCTATAACTAAACTTTGGACTCTTGGCTTGTGCTCTTGCAGTGGCTGCTGATGGGAATGCGCCAGTTCAGATGAAGCTGCATAAATGCTTGAGAATTTGGGCATTTTATGTAGACTTGGAGGAGAGCCTGGGCAAATTAGAGTCCACTCGAGCTGTTTACGAGAGGATATTGGATTTGAAAATAGCTACACCGCAGATCATAATCAATTATGCATCGCTTCTTGAGGTATGGCATTACACCTGTTGCTCTTTTCTTGGCAAATTCACTTTTAAGTATCTTACGTTTATAATTTGACTGCACAGGAGCATAAATACTTTGAAGATGCATTCAAGGTTTATCAAAAAGGTACTAAGATATTCAAGTATCCACATGTCAAAGACATATGGATTACATATCTTTCCAAATTTGTAAAGAGATATGGGAAGAAAGAACTGGAACGCGCAAGAGAGCTATTTGAGGAGGCTGTTCAAGCGGTACGGGCCTTCTGTCCCTTTAGACTTTAGTCTGGAATACTCTGGATATATAAGTTACTCTGGTATTTTTAAAGCACTAAAATTTTTTATGTCGCATTCCTTTTCAACATTTTATGTAGCAATCATATGGTTCATTTTTATAGATTCTGTCTTATCATATCGTTCTTGTGTCATACTATCCATTTTTTAAAGGGAAACTCGACAAGCCATTGCGTTATAATTAAGGTTAATTTTTTTGTTTTATTGTATTGTATTTATTTATTTTTTATGTCTGCATGTGGTTTACTTTTCATTGACTATCAATGGGGGCCTGCATCTTTGTGTCTTCTTACTTACTGTGATTATATATGTGCACTCTGTCATCTAGTGAATGGAATATAACATGAATATTGTTACCCAAGTTGCTTTTGAAGTGCGTAAGGACCTCCTCTTGGTCCAGCTGTCCAAACTTTCTCACAATTGATTGCACAGAGCCTTTACGTTTTTCGTTTCAAGAGTTCTCCTTCTGGTTTACGGGTGTTCTGTATATCACCACTCTGTTTGTGTGTATAAATTTGTGTGGGTTTCATATTTTTTGAAATCATTTCAGGTTTGAGTTCAATATGCTAGAACGTTGCCCTTTTGGTTGTTATTTATCTTATACTAACCTTAACATGGTCTATCAGGCTCCTGCCGATGCGAAGAAACCTTTGTATCTTCAATATGCAAAGCTGGAGGAGGATTATGGTCTATCAAAGCGGGCAATGAAGGTCTATGATGAAGCAACTAAGGCTGTTCCAAACCATGAGAAACTGGGCATGTATGAAATCTACATTGCTCGTGCTACAGAGATATTTGGCGTCCCGAAGACGAGGGAAATATACCAGCAGGCCATAGACTCTGGTCTTCCAGACAAAGATGTGAAGACAATGTGTTTAAAGTTTGCTGAGCTTGAGAAGAGTTTGGGAGAAATCGATCGTGCACGGGCAGTGTATACATATGCTTCACAGTTTTCAGATCCACGATCTGATGTGGACTTCTGGAACAAATGGCATGAGTTTGAGGTCCAACACGGAAATGAAGATACATTTCGAGAGATGCTTCGAATTAAACGAAGTGTTTCTGCAAGCTATAGCCAGGTAAGCTCATTAGTTCTATATCTGTTTTTGTCTAAAACGTTTATTACTTTCATTTTTTTTTCCTCCAGCAAATTAGGTAGGTGTTTTAACTTTTATTAGGGTCTCAGTGAAAGGGCTCCTGAATTGCTCATTTAAATTCCCCTTTTTTTCCGTTCTTCAGACCCACTTTATTCTACCCGAGTATATGATGCAAAAGGATCAGAAGCTGTACATAGACGAGGCAAAAGACCAGCTGAAACAGGCTGGAGTCCCCGAAGATGAAATGGCTGCTCTAGAGAGGCAGTTGGCACCTGTGGCCAACGATACTACCACTAAAGATAGCAGTAGAATAGGCTTTGTGAGTGCAGGAGCAATTCAGCAGACTGACGGAGGGATCAAAGTTACTACAAATCCTGAAGACATTGAGCTACCAGAAGAAAACGATTCAGAAGACGACGAAAGGGTTGAAATTCAAATTGCACAGAAGGAGGTCCCGGATGCTGTTTTTGGAGAGTTGGCTAACAAGAGAAAGGAGGCCGAAAAAGATGAGGGCGGAGATGCTGATACCAAGGACAATGACAGCCGCCTTGGTGCCCTTGAGAGAATAAAAAGGCTAAAACGAGGTGCCTGATTTACTAGCAGTTTTGACGCGTATGTTCACCAACACCGTATTCAGGTTTCTTTTTCTCCCCTTTTCCATTGCATCTGGCCTGTATATTTGAAGAAAATAGCTGCATCTCTCGGTTCGCTTGCTCAGTGGTCCTGAGTGATCGAATCCGAAATAGACGACTTGAGAACCAAAAAATAGGAAAGAGACGACTTGTTTGCATCTCTCGAAAGAGGTTAGCTTGAAAGAAGTATTTAGCATAACCTTACACTATTGATTTTGGGGTGTGCTATTCACACATTCCTTTTTACTTCTCACACACCCCTTGTTAATTTATGTCCGTTGATCTTCTTCAATTCATCCGATCCGACGATCGAAAATAAAAAAGGTATGAGAGAAGTAAAAAGGGGTGTGTGGATATCACACCCTTTGATTTTGATGTCCCTAAGTACTAACTGAAAAGGTTGGCTGCTATATCAATTTAGAAACTCTTCGGTTCGATTCTTTCTTGGGCTATCTCCAACCGAAATGGCTAAATATAGTTCCATTCAGAGTTATAGCTATGCAAAATATTATTTTTAAATGAACAGTGTCAGATCATAGTCATATACCATCTTCAACCGAAGGGGTTAAATATAGCATCTTCAATAATTTATTAGTTTTAAGGTTATAATTTAAATTTATTAGTTAATTTAATTGAATTGACTTTTTTTGGATGTTTTCAAATCTCGTTGTTAAATTTGAATCAATTATCGCAATTGAGGGGCTGGACCCCAAAAAAGGGGCTAAGACCATCTCCAAATGAGATGTCAAATTTTGAACATAAAATTTAAATTTTGACAGCTTATGTGGCACTTTGACATCTTTTAAAGTTTTGTTCTCCAATTGATATGTCAAATTAAATTATTATTTTATAAAATAAATTATTAAACTAATTAAAATTTAATAAATGACATTTAAAGTTTAATCAGTAATTTGTTCACCTTTCTTGCTTGAAAATAAGAAAAAAAAGTAGGATAATTGCATCAGCCAACTCAACATTAATTATAAATAAATTATTAAACTAATTAAAAATTAATAAAATACATTTAATAATTAATAATATAAAAAAATTGAAGCTGCTGTCAAATTTGACAGCAACCTCTTTTGATGCCAATCCATATCATCGCCACATAGGATTTGACACTTTGGTTGGAGAATATTAGTGTGGACTTTTTTTACTGTTATAGCTGATGTGTACATTTTGGCATCTCCTTTGGAAATGCTCTAAGAGGTGGGTTACATTTAGCCAAATAATAGTCTGGTGGGCTCTATAGAATTATAGTCTAACCTTCGGTTGGATATGAGTTTTTGAACAAATCAAGTTATTTTTTTGGCTTTTGGACATTTAGCCCTCTTCGTTGGAGATGACGTAATGTAACATTCTTATAACTTGCGTCTACATGATTTTACGTCACAAGAAATTCTAAGATCATACACCTGGACCACATCAGGCCAACCCCAATTAGGTCTCAGCTGGGTGAGTCTGATACTGTACAAGGGTGTCAAACCATCTCCAAAGAAGATGTCAAATTTTGAACTTTAAATTTGACAGCTTATGTGGCATTTTGATATATTTTCATGTTTTGCTCCCCACCCAATATGTCAAATTAAACTATTATTTTGTTACATTATTATTATTTTCTTAATTTTTGTCTTATACTCTAAATTCAATGAACTAACAATAAAGAAATTAAACATTGCTTTGGTAATTTGTACTAACGGCTATAATATTATTTATAGATTGCATTGATCTTGAAACATTGCATTAAAATATCAAATAATAAATGACATTTAATAATAATTGACATTAAAATATTAATAAAAGACATTTAATAATGAGGAGTGTTAAACCCACCCCCTTTTCTTATTTCCTCACCCCACTTAAATGTGAAAATTCCATTGACAACTATGTTCTTTTAGAGAATGACTGTAAGGACCTAAATAATAACTAATTGTATTTTGTCACGTAAGCATTAGATTTTTTCATTAAAAACTAAAATAGTAGAAAAACGAAAAAACGAAAAAAAATAAGAAAACTCCCACCCCGTTCTCACTATCATTATAACCACGACAAGTGCACAACCACATGCCTCCCTCACGGCGGCGTCGATGATGGCTACCTTCTTTTCAACTCCTTCCTTTTCCCTTTATCTCATGACAGTGTACAATCTCGATCCAATACCGTCAGTGAAAGAGATTGTGTACAACGAAGGAAGATGGGTAAACCCATGGAGGTGGGCAGTTTTGAGGCTATGTTGGTGCTGCGAAGGTTGGATGGGGTGGAGCCTGGGTGTTGGTGCGGCTGCCGTATTGGGGATCGTGGTGCAGATGGGGTTTGGAGGTCTGTTGCTTCAGTGGTTTTGGAATTGGGATGGTTAACCAATTTTTATCATTTTTTTTTGTTAAAGAGATATATATATCCTATATATTCTAATAAATAGAATTTAAAAGATTTTAGAGATATATAAAAGGTTATATTAGGAATAAGGGTGGGTGGGAAGAGAGAGTTTTTCATTTTTAACTTTTTATGATGGGTGAAATTATAAGGTGGGTGAGAAAATAGGACAATGGGGTGGGGCTAGTAACACTCTTAATAATTAGTAAAAAAAATTTGAAGCTGCTGTCAAATTTGACAGAAAGCCCCTTTGCTGCCATTCCATGTCATGCCGCATAGAATTTGGCATTTCGGTTGGAAACAATTAATGACTGTCTTTTTTAACTGTTATAACTTATGTGGACAATTTAGCATTTCCTTTGGATATGCTCTCAGCAACTAAGAATCCCCCTCCCACGGTGAGGTGTTGAATCTTGAATACTTTTTGGTGCATCATTTCTATCTCAAAGATTCGAGTGGGTGTCCATCGGTGTCGTGGCCAGGCGTGTCAAGTCAGCCCCGGAAGCCGGCAGCTGTTTTTCTATGAATGGATTTGGACTTTGGATAACTATAGGGTTAGGGCCTAAATATTTGGACTTGGGACAGATGTAAAGCCATGAGTTACTCGCTAATCGTAGTTACGGACTAGATCTTTAGGTAACCTAAAATAAGAGATGTGATTTTGATATGGTGATAATGATATGATTCAACAACATAATGATATGATTTGATTCAACAACATAATGATATGATTCAACAACATGGGTACGTTTTTCACAAGTGTAGGGATACCGATAGTTTTGGATACGCCATTTGGGTAAGATATTACGTGTTGTTTGTCTAGAGCAAAAATTCTATGATGCTTCAAAACAAAAATACTCTGGGGAGTTTTATTTGTTAGATTTTAGTTTTTATGCTTTTAATCAAAGATTTAACCTGGAGTATGATATTCTAGAGTACCATAAAAAATCGTTTAAAGAATCTTGTAGCTTAGTAGTTAGGAGCAGGGGCGTATCTACTTTTGGGCAAGGTGGGTCAGCTGACTCCCCAAGCTAAGAAATTCTCCAGAGAAGAGATGGGTTTAGCCCTCTGAAAATCTGAGATGCCCTTGAAAGCTGACATCCAATAGCTCAATGAATTGCCTCTATGGGCACTGGGCACGGTAGCTGCTAGCCTTATGCATTTGTATGCGTTGTTATTGGTATCTGTCGATAGACTCACTCAACATATATTAGCATCTGTTGGCATGTTCGTTCAAAAACTATTAACATCAATCGACATGTTTGCTCATATGCTATTGGCCTCAGGTGCTATTCTTATTGATTCCCTAATAATATTTCCTAAATCCGCAATTGGTGAAAACATTTACCAACTCTTGAATTGGATTACCCCTATCCTTTGTTGTATATGAAAAGTAAATATCGCCTTGTCCTAAGAAAAACTCAAAATTCAATCATTCAGTGAAGTCAAAATCATGACATAACAAAAAGCTTACATTAAAGTACACTCTTTTAAAATTTCGAACTTTCCTTTACAGTAAAAAAGAACGAAAAAGAACGAACAAGATAAAAAGGTTTCTTGCTTTACAGACCCACACGTATTTCCTTCCCCATGACGAAAAACAAAAACAGTCCCAATTAAACCCTAATTGTAATTTTGTTTATCTTTATCTTTTTCTTTTTGTTAAAATTAATTCCAATCTAATATTAAAAAAAAACCTATTAAATTATTGGGGGGAAGAAAAAAGTTTGAGCAAGTATGTGTATCAATGGCTTCCACGGTTGACCATTTTCATGTACTGATTCAAAGACTCTTGTCTCTGCAGCCTCATTTCCTCATTGAACTTGTTTATGAACTCTTCCACTCGGCGGTTCAACTCGTCCTGACTCAGCGACGGCTCTTTCCTCAGCCTCCCTCCACTTCCATCCACGGCGGCTGCACGTCTCAGTTTCTGGTTGCTTCGGTCCTTAAACGTCTCTGCCTTCGCCATCACTGGCGTGTCCCCTGCCGACGTCAAGTCAACGTTTAACTGACGGCCACAGTTCTGCAACGTCTCGGACTTCTCCATGCGCCTGCTCAACGTATTCGACCGACCTTCCGTTATCGCCTTCCACGTGCTCTCCAGCGTGTCGTACTGCTTTGGCTTCACCACTATCAAAGGCTCCCCACCTGTGAAATTTGGCGGTAAAGGTTAAATGTCTACTTTACCCCTTTGTGCTAGAGCACCTTTTACTTTTCAACGTGTCATATATAAAAGGGCTTATTAGACATTATCCAAACTTTTATGCCGTTACTTGATTACCTGATAACGAATGTTGGAAAATGTTTTTTAGATAGTCACAAACATTTTCGTTTTTAAATAACTAAAAGCATTGTGCTAGCAAAAGTGCTTCTTACTAAAGCAATCTCATACTATTTAAACACAAAACTAGGGTTATGAAATTGAAAATGAAAATACCTTCAGGACTGGATCTAGCCGGTTTACGGCGACTGGATCTAGCCGGTTTCCGGCGACTGTGTCTCGCCGAAACTAGAGGTTTCTCCACCGGCAAAGCGATATCATCGGACTCCACCATACTCTTCGGCGGCGAGATCACAAGCTTATCTTCGTATTCGCGATCATCTTTATTCTCAGCCACCGCAGGCTTTGCTTCTTCTACGTAGCCATTGCTCACAAACGCAGACGTCGGCTCATGAACAACCTCCGGCTCTCGATACCTCGGTTGGTAAACCGCCTCCGACCCCGGTTTGATCACAACCGCAGACGTCAGCTTATGAACCTTCGGCTCTCGATACATCGGCGCGTAAACCACCGCCGGATCCGAAACGCTCACCTCCGACTCCGGTTGAAGCTTCGGCTGAGGCGACCTGCCGTGGCCGTCGAATCTGGAGGAAGCGGCGATGGTGATGATGATGCCGTTGACGAGGACGTAGAGGTACGGAGGGCGGAGCAAGAATCGGAATGAGGAGCACATGACCGAAAAGTTAGAGGCTACGAACTCCGCCGCCATCGGAACGGAGATCTTCATGGCCAGAGCCCACGCCACAAAGCCGCTCAAAATCAGGACAATCTTCAGAGAAGCTAACCAAGACATTTTTTATTAAGTAAGATCTTAATCAAGTTTAATTTTGATTAGTTAACAGCGGTGACTGTTTAAGAACGAGTGAGAGTGAGTGAGAACTGGAGATGTAAGCACTGAGAGGTGGTCGTTTGAGAGAAACTGAATTAATGCATGGGGAATATATAGAGAAGGAGAGGGAGGGGCGCGTATTTTGTGATGGGACTTGAGCCGTCGGATTTAGACGAGGAGTGATCGACATTGGATTGTTGACTGAATTAATGCATGGGGAGAGAAGGAGAAGGAGGGACGCGTATTTTGTGATGGGACTTGAGCCGTCGGATTTAGACAAGGAGCGATCGACGGTGGAATGTTGACTGGGTGCGCAAGGATGGCCCCACTCTTGTTGCCTTGTGGAGAGAACATCCACGTATAGTGTCCCACGTATCAAATAAAGTAATCATGATCCAGAGACTTAAGTGATAAGCTGTAAATATTTATGGGGTTAAGTTTAGGAGGTGGATTGGATGCCCACCCATTTTCATACTCTTTTCATCACTTTTTGTTTGTGTGGTCACAGTTAAATTATGTCAATATTTTATAATTTTTTTTTATAAAAATAATAAAACAAGTAATAAAAATATAAAATGTTGACGTGACTTAACTATGACCACATAAAACAGGAAAGGATGGGAAGAGTATGGAAATGGGAGGGTAGACAATCCACCTCCTTAAGTTTAAACATTTGTGGACCACTTCTTAATTAAGCGTAGTAATCATGATTTAGAGATAAAGTGATGAGCTGTAAATATTTATGGGTTTAAGTTTAAACATGTGTAAGCATGGAGGCACCGCCACGTCTGAATTAAGCGTGCCAGCGTGGTGGTAATTTGGCAAGTTGAGTTTCCATTTCACACTAAACTCAACCGCTTCTTCTCTCTCTCATTTTCTTTCCATTTCTCTACAGAGAGCTTGGTTTTTGGTCATTTTGTTTCGTCGTTGTGCATGACTTTCTATCTACCTTAAATACAGGTTACACTGAGGAAATCTAATTGATTATCAGTTGTCGTTGACCACGGCCACAAGAATCAGGCTATGTACCGCCTTTAAGTTTTTAACCTTTTGCAGAGGCTCGTGCACTGATTTAAGTTCAATAATACCTTCACTTCGACCTCACGTTTAGTTGCTACAGTTGAGTTTGTAATCCTAAGCAAACCGCTGGTGATTAGCCGAAGGAAGGTGAGGATGACGTCGTCATCATGTCCCTTATGCCCAAAATTACCATTTAATTTAAGAAAACTAATGAAAATGACTTGAAAATTTTGAGTTTTAATAATAATGACAAAATAAATGGCAAAGTGAATCGTATCATGATTGACTTTTTAATGTAAAAATGTGGTTTTTTGTTAAAATGAATAGTACCGGAAGCTTTTCGTTAAAGTTCTCTTTAATTTAATGTTTAAGTTTTTAATCTCAAATTAGTTAATCATTTAAACCGTAAGTTTTCCCGTTTAAGTATAACATTTGTACATTAGATAATCGCATCAAACAATGAGGCACTCTATTAACTTGTTGGCGAATATGGGTAACACAACCATCGATTGTCTTTTTTTCAGCAACTCTTCACCGTTCATCAACTCCATCTCAGATGTGTTCAGGCCTGAACGAAGAATCGCCGAAGTTAAGAAGAAAATGACCTTTTGAACTCTTTTGTTTGTTTAGATCCCAATTTATGTGTAAAGGGGGTCACAATCTTCTTTTTTTTTTTTCGGATTAAGGTAAAGAGGACTGGCTTTAGGTGACAGGAAAGTTTAGTAGTATTTACCAAAAGTAGAAGGCATTATTTTGAAATCTTTAGAGCATTATTTGACAGTTACTTAAGGATTAAGATCACGAGAGCATTATTTTGAATTTGTCTTTTGACAAACGGTAGTGTTAGTAGGTTAAATTGTTAGTTATTAGGGAAGGTAAATCGATGAGGATCAAACTCGTACCAAAGTGCATAAACGTCATTACTTTTCGCCACTACAGCAAAGCGCATGCACGCATTATACTTTGAATTTTTGATAGCATTATTTGACGTAGTAAGATCATTAGGGCTGGTCCAATGGTGGCGGAGACGCTCCTCCCTAGTAGGTGGCCAGTGGCGACCACCACTTGTTTTGTAGCTTTCACAAGGTGTACCTCTAAACCAATCACGTAACCTTGAGCTTTTGGCACTGGATCCTACGGCTGGAAGATAATAAGACTGTTTGTTAGGTCAACTTGATTAGAATAATGTTGTCGAATCTTAACCATTTAATCTAATGTTTTATAAATATAAATCTATTGATAGATTAAGTATCCATGCATCTTAGTCAGACACGCTAAATATGTTTAATGATTCAACAAATGTACGTATACTCCTAAATCCATCAAAATAAAAATTGAAAAGCATTCGAGTATTTTCCTCACCACACGTTTGCATAAAGAACAAAAAAAAAAAAAAAAACAATGTTCGATAACAAACACTTAATCGTAGCATGACAAGTGAAAATTTATAATCTTGATCCTTGGAGATGAACTTAATCTGCTCCATATGGCATATATGTGAAGTGGAAAACGTATACAATATTAGAGCATCATTAAAAGGAAATGTCAAAATGTCCAAATTAACAATAACGGTAAAAAAAAGCAGCAATGTTTTCCAACCGAGAAGTCAAATTTGACATCACCTTTAAATTTGACATCAACTTCAAATTTTTTTAATTAACTATTAAATACTTTTTATTATTATTTTATTGGTTTAAGGCACTGGCTTTTAATTTCTTTTCATTACCACTGTTTACATCTTTTATACCTTTTAATTCATTTCCTTTCATTACCGATGCAAAGAAAATAAATATGAATTTTCATTTATGTTTAAAATTTGACATATGGGGTGGAGAGCAAAACTTAAAAAAAAAAATCAAAGTGCCACATCTTCTTTGCATATGGTCTTAATGGTTGTCTTGGACGTCATGGTGAGATTTCAGAGTGTAAATAAGTCTTTTCTGAAAATGAAAACTAATTAATAATTTAACATAGAAGCAAAGAGGGACTGAGATGTTGGTGCTTGACATCTCAACTAAATATATGGTTAGTTTGTGTAGACATCTGAGGACTGACCCGATATATATGAAGATATGGGTAGTTTGTGTAGACATTTGACGACTGACAAATATTTGAAGTGTTGAAGATCAATATAACTGAAATATAAATAATAATATCCACATTTAGCGTGCAATTTGGCCCATATATTAGCATAGTTCCCAACCGACAATCAGTGAAAAAAGGATAACCGAAATTAGATTACTGCAGATAAATTAACAGATAAACAAATGGGCAAACAAAAGATTAGTCAATTGTTCGCTGAGACGTAATTAGTATTTTCGACGTCAAATGACAGGTAATTATGTGGTAATTCAATATGGAAGTTGGAAGTTAGCTTGTCAGTTAAGCGATCCATACATATAGAGAAACAGAAGGTCAGTCAATTGGCGGTCGGTGTGCTTTAGTTTCAGGTGAACCTCAAATCATGACACTACTTTTTTGTGGACCTCAAATCACCCAAATTGCAAAGAAAAAATCTTCGTGCATGCGATTTCACCAAATGCCCAACTACAGTCTTTGACAAGTAAAAAGCTTGAAAAATACTCCCAAAAAAATGTAGACTGTAGACGTCACATTCATGCAATCCATTAAACCGTCCATATGTATCGAGGTTGTGTATATGTAGTACAGACATATATTGTGGATAATGCGTGCACCCCAATAAAAGGAATCGACATGAGATAATTTTTCAGCGCAGCGACAATCACATAATGCTATCAAACCATTAAATTCTATAACACATGTTATAATATATCAACACTTTTATGCACTCATGTGAATTTTATGCACGCGTGTGAATTAATACGTAACACCACGTATCAATGTCAACATTGCTAAACTCATAAATCTCTCAATTGACACAGTTTCTCCATGTCATCTCCAAATTTATGTCCACCGCCCAGTGTAAAATGTGAACGAAGAGTAGACTAATTGCATCTTTAATTATTGATTAGTGCTCTTTTGCGTAGAAAAAGTGTATGTAATGGTATGGAAATGTAACTAGTCGCTCTCAAAAATTAATTAATTGCAAAAGAAATTAAATAAATGGAGGATTAGGTAGTTAATTGATAAAGATGCATGGTTGGCTGCCTCCTTCTAGAGCTACCAGACTATCCAGGAAACTCCTCCGAAGACCCATGAAACAAGTCGTTCCTTTATCAGCAAATTTTTTATGTATCCGGGGGTGACGTGATATTATTCTACTTAAATATATATTAATACGTGGATTTGTATTTTATTATTGACCATGTCTTTTATTTTTATTATAATACGTGAAATTATACGTTACATAATTTGTAGTTCTGATACTCATAAAAATTTTCCTGGGTGTGGCAATATGTCATGCAAGCAGTCAATACTCAATAGCTTCCCTTTTTATGAATAACTAGCTGTAACCCAAAGTCGGAATATTTTTCTGTGTAGGTCCTTTCAGAGTACTGTGAATAATTTAGCTGCTTCGAAGACTACATCTTATGGATAAAAACTTCTATGTAAAAATATAGTGTGTATACGTATTGTACCAAATGAGGATCCCAAATTGCATGAGTATAAGTCTTACATGTAAAGGATCATACACCAATAGATACAAAAAAAATATTGCCAATTGCCTGAAATGAGAAGGAAAGATATTCTGATAAAAACGTTCCTCAGTCATATCATCATGACTTTTAAAGTCATGTACAGTAGCAATACCAAACCAAATACAACGAGTACTGAGTTCCTGAGCTAAGCCTTGGTTAACCCTTGGAAATCTTAAGGCATTATAAGATGTATACATAAGCATGATCGGTCCATTAGATTAGGTAAGAAAAACTGGCAGTTAATATACAATTACCAGCGAAACAAAGAGGGACAGAGAGATGGTGCATGCGTGTCAGCTCAGATAGTATTGATCAGTAGGTTTATTTGTCTGATCCCAGATAATGAAAGTGACACTCGAGTTCTGACTTTGAATGGAGGGAAAATACTTAACCTAATGGGATAGAAACTGCGTATTATGATATATGCTTGTGAAGTTGTTGTCGACGGGCAAGACTCG